AGGGGGGCCCAGCGGAGACCCGGCCGCGGCGGGGTGCATGGACAGGGACAGGGCGGGCACCGGGCTGGGGTGGAGACGGCGGGCGCGAGGGGCGGAGGACCGCCGGCCGGAGAGGGGACGGGGCGAAGGCCGGGCCGAGGCGGAGGGCTGGGGCCGGTGTCCGAGGCGGGCGGAGGAGCTCAGCGCTGGGGCAAGGTTGGGGACACCTCCAGATGGCACAGGGGCCGGAGGAGTGGGGGTGGAGAGAGGGACGAGGTGGGGCTTCCCGGGGCTGAGACAAAGGCTGGCGAAGCTGGGCTCCACGTGGGGAGCCCTGTTCCCACGGCGCTGGTGTCAGGTCCCCTCCCGGGCGGCTGGGCCGGAGCTGCGACTCCCGGCTCCCGGCTTGGGCCGGGGGAGGGACAGAGCGCGAGGCCTCTCCGGCCGAGCGGTGGTGGGTGCCCTCCTCGGTGGGCACTCGCCGCCGTGTCCCTCCCCGGCCCGGCCCCGGCAGGCAGCGTCGTCGGTGCCACCCCAGGCGGCTGCTTATTTTGGAGTGTCACATTCTGGCAGAGTGCGAAGCTGTCTGCAGCGGCTTTACCCCTTGTCGCCCGCGCCAGTGCCTCCTTGGCCCCTGTCTCACGGGCATCTCCACCACCGCCACCCCGCTCCCCGGCCCCCTCAGCATCTGCCCATCGGCCTGGCAGGCCGGCTGGTCCTGTCTGGAAGCCACCCGGGGCATGTGGAGACGCTGCCCGGGCCCTGGCACCCTGGTTCCTGCCCGCTGCCCCGGTCCACCTGCCCTTCCTGGGTCCTTCCTGCACAAGGACCTCTGGCCTAGCGGGGGCACAGGCCAGGGCTTTGTATCAGAGCGGGGAGCTCCAAGGCTTGCTGCCTGGAGTCCCTGCAGTGGCCCAGGTGAACGGACACTTTCTGGCTCGGCCTTCCCGTATCGATGTCCTGCGCTGCCCTCTCCATGCCCTCGGCTGCCGGCTCCAGCCTGCTCCCCGGACACCCATCCCGGCTCCTTGGCTCCCAAACGTGCTATCCCCCGAGCAGCCACCGAGGGGCGCCCGGGGGAGGGCAGCAGCGGCAGGACCCGGGACCTCTTTCTTGCCTTAACAATAGCCAGCTGTGACTGGGCGGCCCGGGCACCTGGGCAGCAGGCACCAGATCAGCCCTCCCTGTCCGGCAAGGGCAGCATCGCTGGCATCTAGGGTGCTTTCTCAGCGGCCGGGGAGAAGGGGCTCCCCGAGTGTGCAGAGCTGTGCCAGCTCACTTCCTGGATCCAGCCCCCGGCTTTGCTCTGTGGCCAGGCGGTGCGGAGCTGGCCTCCCCCGGTGGCGCTGTGTGGACAGCGAAGCTGCCACGCTTGCCCAGGGTGTCTGCGCACAGTAGGTCTCAGGGCGACATGGCCCGGGCCACCTGCTGACCACGAGGGCCGCCTCCTCCTGGATGGCAGTGGAGGTGGCGAGGCAGCTCCCGGGAAAGCTGCTGGGGGGGGGGGGGAGGCGGGCCGGCCCTGCCCCTCCTGGCTCTCTGTCACCCGTGTCGCGGGGGCTGCTGAGGCACCCCCCATCCAGCCCTGACCTCCACATCTCTCCCCCGAGTGCAGGGGAGGCTGGGGCCAAGGGCACAGGAGGAGGCCAGCTGTGGGAGGACGGTGGCAGGTGTGAGGAGCGGGGCCGGGCTGGAGAGGACACAGGGTGCCGCAGGCAGGAGGCAGAGAGGCCCCGGTGCCCACAGCAGCCCGGCCGGGCGCAGCAGCCCCGAAGCCCGCTGCCCCTCCTCCCGCCTCCAGCGTGAGAGCAGCAGCCTGAATTATGGATGAGGCTCCTTGGGTTACAGCTGCTCGGCACGGCCAGAAATGGCAGCAGTCACCGGCGGGCAGCAGCTGTCACGGAGGGGCCCGGCGCGGGGTCCCCCGCTACCCACCGGGGCAGCAGGGCAGGGGAGGCACCTTTGCCCGCCCTGCCCAGCTTGGCTCAGCCTGGCAGGGGTGCCCGGGCCATGGCCCCCGACTCTGGGGCATCTGGGGCTCCGGCCCCTCCTTCCGTCCTGCGGGGTGGCGTCCGTCCAGCCGCTGTGGGAGGGGCGCAGCCCTCCATCGGAAGTCCCCCCAGCACGGGGGTGAGGCTGGCATTAGGGGATCAGAGCCGGATTTGGCTTCCTTTGGTGTCGGCCCTCCGGGAGGCGGAGCTTGGAGGGCAGCTGGCAGGAAGGGCACGTGCCCTGGCAGGGCACAGGGGACGCTTCTCCTGGCCCTGGTCCTGCACCACGTTGCTGTGTGACCTTGGCGAGCCGCCTGCCCTCTCTGAGCCCTAGTTGTCCCCACTGGAGAGCAGAGGAGCCTGGAGAGTTTCTGCCACTCAGAACCCCCAAGCCCCGGCGCTCAGCAAACGCACCCAGGGTCCCCCGGGCTGGGGCTGGGAGGAGGGTGGGAGAGGCGCCCTCCACCCGCCGGGGGCTGAGAAACTGGCCGAGGAAGTGCTCGTGAAACAGCGCCCGGGGGAGGGGGAGAGGGCCCAGAAACGCGGAGGCGGTGTGAAGGGGGAACAGCCGCGCTGTGTCACCGCGTGTGACTTCACACCAGCCCACACGCGCACGGGGCCGTGCTCACACACACACACACACACACACACACACGCAGGACAGCAGGGGCCGTCCACGCGCCCCCTGGTCCCGGTGTGGCACCCTGGAGCCCCACATGCGGGCAGCGGGGTTCCCACTCGAGCTCCGGGAAGAGGCCACCTGCGGGGACGTCGTCCCCACACACACGCCACACAGCCGTGCGGGAGTCGGGCGCGGCCTCGGATCTGCGCTCCTGCGGGCTCAGGGGCGGCCGCCTAGCTTTGGGGTGCGGGCCTCCCTCTCTGGGGTCGCCCCGGCCTCACAACCAGGGAAGGCCAAGCCCGTGGCAGGGGGAGGGGCGGGGATGGAGGGGCGGCCTGAGCCACTGCCCCGTCCACACTGAAGCTGCTTGAACTTCCTGCCGTGCCCGGGACTCAGGAGGCCTCGATGGGCACGCAGCGCCCGGGCAGCCAGGGCGTTCTGGTTCTGTCGCCTGTGGCTGGTGGCCACACGGGAGGCTGTGGTCCGTCCCCCAGGGTGACAGCGCAGGAAGACCAGGGAGGACACGCAGTCTGAGGGCTGGACGGGGCCCCCCCACACACGCCGGCCGCAGCTCTGGAGTGGGCTGTGCTGGCCCCGGGGACATTTGGCGACGTGGGGAGGCGCTTTGGCGGTGTCGGCGGGGGCAGGGTGCCGGCTGCGGAGTGGGGCCGGGGTGGGGAGCCCAGCGCTGTGTTTGACGTTAGTCTCTGAGCGGGGTCGCAAGGCACGATGAGGACAGGCGGAGCAACAGGTGGGCGTTGTTTGTCACCGCTCCAAATATGTCACCGTGCCTTCTACCACAGGCCCCTGCTGGGGTTTTTGTTTTCCCCGGGGCTTCGTTGTCTATTTTGGGGGCAGTAATGGGGGTGGAACCCAGAGCACTTTTCGGGGGGGCGTTGAGACGAGGTCTGGTGGCCTTGAACTCTGGGCAGTCCTCCTGCCTCGGCCTCCCGAGCGCTGGGATTGCAGGTGCGCTCAGCACGCCCGGTGTTACTTTGTGGCAGAGCCCCACACTAGAGCCCCTCACTGCGCTGTCCCCGCAGGTCCCCCCGCCTGCCTGCTGCTGCTGCTGGCCCTGCCCGCCGCGGCGCCCAGCTGCCCCATGCTGTGCACCTGCTACGCGTCCCCGCCCACCGTGAGCTGCCAGGCCAACAACTTCTCGTCCGTGCCGCTGTCCCTGCCGCCCGGCACGCAGCGCCTCTTCCTGCAGAACAACCTCATCCGCACGCTGCGGCCCGGCACCTTCGGGCCCAACCTGCTCACGCTGTGGCTCTTTGCCAACAACCTCTCCACCATCTACCCGGGCACCTTCCGCCACCTGCAGGCCCTGGAGGAGCTGGACCTGGGCGACAACCGGCACCTGCGCTCGCTGGAGCCCGACACCTTCCAGGGCCTGGAGCGCCTGCAGTCGCTGCACCTGTACCGCTGCCAGCTCAGCAGCCTGCCCGGCACCATCTTCCGCGGCCTGGTCAGCCTGCAGTACCTCTACCTCCAGGACAACAGCCTGCTGCACCTCCAGGTGAGCGCCGTCCGCCCCGGGGCCCGGAGCCTTGCTGCCTCAGCCTCCCCGGCCCTCGCTTCCCTGCTCCTTTCCTGGGTTTCTGTCCTTTTGTGTCTCTCTAACTCCCTAGCCCCTGTCTGTCTGCCTGACTGTCTGTCTGTCCCTCCATGCCTCCCTCCTTTTCTCCTACCTCGCCTCCCCGTCTGTCTCCGTCTTCTGTCTGTCTCCGTCTTCTGTCTGTCTCTTTTCCCACACCCATGCCCCACACTCCCGTGTCTGTCAGGGGTGGACGTGTCTCTATTCTATTCACTTATTTTTGAGACAGAGTCTCCCTGTGGAGCTCAGGCTGATCTTGAGCTCACTATGTAGCCCAGCCTAGCACTGAACCTGTGGCAGTCGACCCTCCTGCCTCAGCCTCCCCAGAGCTAGGATGACAGGTGTGTGCCACACCCAGCAGTGTGTCTTTCTGAAGTCTCTCCTTCCCGTTTGCCTTGGGGGAACCCCGCCCTTCCCGGGGACCCCTGCCCAGAGCTTTGTGTAGTTCCTTTTCTTCCCCTTTCACCAGCTAGCGGGGATGGAGGGCAGAGTCACCGCTGCTGGGTTTCCTGTTTCCAAGTCCCTGGGCACCGGGGTGGGAGACCCTGCCCTTCTGAGAGCCCTGTGCCCTCCACCCGCCAGCTCTGGGCAAGTTGGAAACAGATGC